TATTTGAAAGGAAAACAAACGACTGTGCCCTGTGTTATTTTTAGCCCGGCCACGTCTTTCATCCCGAATTCCTCAGTGACGTCGCTCCGGCTCACAAGGCCCCCGCTGTGACTTTGCTTGCAATAAATACCCAGAGAATTCTCTTTATAAATCACAGCAAGCCAAGGTAACATCAGCCCCAGCTGCCCAATTCCCAGCTCTGCCACGAGCCAGCCCCACCAAGCCCAGTGTGGTGGCACTGGGGGGGGATCCAGGGCGGGGACAGGGGACGCAGCATCAAACCCCGGTGTTGGCACCTGCTTTGGGAAGCAAAGGTGCAGGGATCACCCTCCCCCCAAGTTTTCCCCATGTTCTGCCCTACACTGGGACCAAACAAAGGCACCCTGGGGACAACAGGGCCCCCCAGGGCTTGGGGACACGGGCACAGTGGATCCGTCTGCACACACAGACGGGGATGTGTTGGAGGAGCTGTGGGAGCCCGAGTGTAAATATTTCATAGTGAACCAGAAAGGGAAAAAAAAAAATAAAAAAAAGAGGAGGAAAAAGTGTTACTACAGAAACGGATTTACAGGGAAGAGGCTAAAAAAAAAACACCTCAGGGTAAAGAACGGCCCGGGTGATGCATCACAGCCTTCCCTGGTTTCTATGCCAACCACCTGCAGAGCCAATTCCACAACCGTGCCTGGATTTCCCCAGCCTGGGCTGTGACAGAGCCACTGCCACCTCACAGGGCCACTGTCACCTGTGCCCATCCTGGCACTGCCACCCCGGCAGAGCCCCATTCCCTGCTCCAGGTGCTCAGGGCTGCCCCCCGGAGCAGGCACAGGCTGCAGGGACACCGAGAGCCCCCCGAGCCCCCCCGAGCTCACCTGATGCTGAGGAGGGGCCTGGTTTTGTGCACTTGGACATCACACATGGGGCAGTACTTGTTGGTCTCCAGGTAGCGGACGATGCAGGTTTTGCAGACTGTGGGGAGAGACTGGGGGTGAGCAGAGGGAGGAGGGGGGCAGAGCCTCTGTGCCAGCCTGGAGTGGCACCCCTAGACCCCCACAGCGGCTGGGGGACAGGACCCTGCCCCATCCATCACCCCACAGCTCCACACGGACCCGGGGGGGGTTTGGGCACCGCGGGAGGGGGTTGGTGTGGGATGACCACCCTGTGGGGGCCCAGGGCACTCACAGGAGTGCAGACACTCCACGATGGTGGTGGCGTCGATGAAGTAGCCGCCGCACAGGGCGCACATCAGGTGGGGGTTCAGCTCGGTGATCTTTATCCTGGTGGTCCTGTGCATTTTGGAGCAGCACCACGGCGGGTCCTCCCTGCAGGGAAACACCCGGGACCCCCCCTTAAGGGCAGCTCTGTGCAAGGATGGGACCTGCAGGACTCACTTCATCCCTTAGGGAACGAATCCAACATCACCCCCCAGCCCAGGGAGCACGGGGGCACCCCCAGCCCTGCACCCCTCCAGCCCTGGGGGTGTGCAAGGCCAGGTAAGCCCTGGGGACACGGGCAGCGGGAATCGGGAATCGGGAATCGCCACCTTCCCGCTCCGGAGCTTCCACGTTTACAATGGGAGACGGCGGAGCCCGAAATCGCTGCAGTTTTATTGTTTCCATGGCAACCCCGATACTTGGAGAGGAGCCAGAATATTATTACAACCATCCGAGGAGAGGGGGAGAGGGGAGAAGGAGCCCTGGGATTGTGGAAAGGAGGGGTGGGCTCAGCGGCACCGACAGCGACCCCCGTGGGCACCCACCCCCGACCAAGGGGAGACACACGTGTGGAACACATGTACACACAGGTACAAACATGTACACACATGTACAAACATGTACACACAGGTACACACATGTACACACATGTACAAACATGTACACACAGGTACACACATGGGCTACACTTCCACACATCCACCTCTCCCCACAGGTACACAGGTACACCTGCACCAGGGATGGGACACCTCTGGGACCGGGATAGAGATGCTGCAGGGATGGGGACACTGCTGGGACTGGGATGGAGATGCTGCAGGGATGGGGACACTGCTGGGACTGGGATGGAGATGCCACAAGGATGGAGACACCACTAGGATGCTGCAGGGATGGGACACCATTGGGATCAGGATGGAGATGCTGCAGGGATGGCACACCATTGGGATCAGGATGGAGATGCTGCAGGGATGGGACACCACTGGGACCAGGATGGAGATGCTGCAGGGATGGGACACCATTGGGATCAGGATGGAGATGCTGCAGAGATGGGACACCACTGGGATCAGGATGGAGATGCTGCAGGGATGGGACACCTTTGGGATGGGGCCCTCGAGACAACCCTGTGCTGGAGGGGCAGTGATCAAGCCAAGCTCTGGGATTCCCTTCCACAGGCAGGGGAGGGCCAGGGGCACTGGGGGCTTTGGAAAACCCCACTCCCCACTCCCTCAGGCTCAGTTCTCCCCCCTGGACACCCCCCGGGTGTGTCCCTTGTTGCCCCAGGGAAGGTACCCCCAAGTTCTCCACAGCGCACCAGCGATGGGGGGGGAGGGGGGGTCACTGCCAGCCCCCTCCCCATGTCGGGGGGTGCCTCGGTCCCCTGTCTCCAGCCCCTCGTGCCGCCCACGCGGGGCCGTGGGACGCACGGCTGCATTTTGGGGGGGGGATTCTGCAGCTTTCGGCGCTCGCAGGCGCCAATGGCGGCCCCGGGGCTCGGCGGGAGGGGGGAGCCCGAGCCACCGGCACAAACCGGTTCTAATAAACCCGGTGATAACCACGGCGCTTTCCTGCCGCGGGGGCGAACAAAGCTCCGGCCCCCCCCGCGCACCGGGACCCGCCGCAGCCCCGGCCCCGCCGGAGCCCCCGGGGCCGCCCCGTCCCACCGGCAGCGCCCGCACCCCCGGCCCCGCTCCCGAGCGGCTCCCGCGCCCCCGGCCCCGACTTTCGGGGTCTTTTGTCTCCATGGGCGGTGGCCCGGCACGGTGCCCCCCCCCCCCTCCCCTTCCCCAAACTCCCCCGGCCACGGCACGCGTGGGGAAGGACGTTTCAAAGTCACCGGCAACTTAGACCCGAGCGGCCGCCCCCCCTTCCCCGCGGGACCCACCGGCGGCGGCGAGCGCGGGGGTCGGGAAATACATCGGGACGGGTCCCCCCCGGCACGGCCCGACCCCCCGCACGATCCCCCACGGGGCCCCCACGCACCGCGGACACGACGAGGCGGCCCCCGCGCCCACCGACAGCGCCCGCCGGGACCCCCCGCCGCTGCTGGGGTGCGGGACGCGGGCACCGGGAGCCGAACACCGGGATGCTGGGGGGGGAAGGAAGCCCCGCGGGGCGGGCACGGACACGCGTGTCCACACACAAGGACACACACACACACACACACACACACACACACACCCCCCCCAGGTCCCGGCGGCGGGACGTGACACCCGGCGGGCACGGACCCGCGACGGGCAGGGACCCGCGAGGGGCACGGGCAGGGGGTGGGCACGGACACAGGATGGATATGGACACGCGTGACTCCGCGCTGTGCCCGGGGGGTGGGTGAGGGGGGGTGCCCGTTCACGGCCGGCATCTCCCGCTGCGTTTCGGGGACATTCCTGCCCCCCCGCCCCCCTCCGGCTCGGGGCAGCCCCCGGTGTCCCCGGGGCGTTCCCGGTGCCCCGCAGCCCCTTTGTGCTCGGGGCCGGCTGTGACAGCCCGGCCCGGCCCCTCCGCCCGCCCCGGGGGGGCTCCCGCCGCGCCCCCCCCCCCGCACCGCCCCACGCGGGGCCCGGGCAAGGAGAGAGAGGGGCGAGCGCGGCCTCCCCCCGGGGCTGGGGGGGCTCCGCAGCCGCTGCCGCTGCCCCCGGGGGGGGGTCCCGGTACCCGGGGTACCCGGGGCCGCGGCACAAAGCGGGGGAGGCGGCGGCCATCGGCCATCTTTGAGCGCGGGGCGAGGCGCGGGGGGGCCCCGCGGCGGGGCCGGGGGCGGGGGGGGGCACCGGGCCCGGTCCGTACCTGGTGGCGGCGGCCCCGCGGCCGCCCCTCCGCTCCCGCCGCTCGGCGCGGCTCCGCTCGGCTCGGCGCTGCGGCCGCCGCGGCCCTTTTTTTTTTTTTTTT